CTACCTAACTTAGGGACTCTTTTGAGGGAGCCTGCCTCCTGAATGAGAGAGAGAGAGATAGAGAGAGAAAGAGAGATTGTATTCCCAAATCGATAATCCCCTCCTAGCTTCCTTTCCTTGTTTATATAATGCTGTTACAATTCTGTTATACCCACCTCTCCACTTGTCCAGTTTGTTAGTTAGTTTGTTCTAGTGGTTGGTTGTTAGTTACATTCTTTAAAGGCTGGCGTGGCCTTTTCTTGTACACTTGTATTCCCTTTATTTGTGTCTCAACAGTCCCTCCTCCCTTGAAAGCGACATTGCCCTCAAGGTCAAGATGTGGAAATCTATTTTGTAAATCCAAGTAAGGTTCCCGAGTTGCATCCTCAATTGGGAGACCTGACCATACCACCAATGCCTCTGGTTCGATGTGATTCCCTTTGCATATCCACCTGAAATCTGTTCCTTAGGTTCTTGGAAGATCACTAAGAACTTCTGAAGTAGTTGTTGTAGTTGTGTGCGGCCTTCTTCGGATCTGCTTCCTTGGGCTAGAATGGAGTCGTTCCCGTGGGAGTCTATCTGCATTAATATGATGTGGGTTGGGTCTGCTGCCTGTTTCCTTAGGAAGACGAGACTAATGGGTCCTGGACCCTTGGACAGTTGCCCTTGAATATGCACCTGTGAGCTGCCCACTTGAAAATCCATGGTGAGGCGGGCCCAATCACATATCACCGGCCCTAGTTGCCTTAACCATTGGACTCCGAGAACTACATCTGCTCCACTGATTTCCAAGGGGTGCAAATCTACCTCGAACTCATGTCCTTGTATCTTCATCTTTAATTCTGTACTGTCGCACACTAGATTGCTCCCATTAGCTACGTGCACCCGGAAGGCTGTACATGGTTTAGTTGTTTGACCAATGTTTGGGTAATGAAATTGAGAGTGCTGCCACTGTCTATCAGAACTGACACATGGCGCCCTTGTACCAGTCCGGTTACTCTCATAGTTTGAGAAGAAGCAAGACCGGTCAAGGCTTGCAGGGATACTTCCGGGTATTCCTTTGTCCATTGCCCCCATTCTTGGTTGTCCATTGGCTCTTCAATGTCTGTTGATTGCTCGACATATTCGGTTTCAGGTTGAAGGAAGAAAACTTGAGGGATCTTACAGTGATGGCCTGGCCCGAATTTGTCTCCACATGCATAACAAAGGCCCTTTTCCCATCGGGCTTGCATCTCAGCCCAGGTTAACCTCTTGGCTGAGCCGGGGCCTGAACTAGAGTTGGCGTCCTTGCCTGTGATTCCTACTCCTGATCTGGGCTCCGGTTTACCCAAGATACCTGGTTTTGGGTTTGGTATACCTGGTATGATCACAGCTCCCAGAGGTGATTAATCCTTCTTGCCCGATTCAGTTTGTCTTCATGTAGTCAAGCTAATGCTGTTGTTTCAAGAACGGTGGTGGGTTGCATGGCTTTTACCTCCCGCCGCAATTCTTCCCTGAGTCCACCAACAAAACTGTTGACAAGCGCATTTTCTGGCCAGCCTTGCACACGCACAGCTAATCTTTTGAACGCCATCTAATAATCTTGGACGGAGTTGGTCTGTTGTAGGTTAGCGAGGCTTTCATCATAGTTCTCAAAGGCCGAGACTCCAAATCGCATGGTTAAGGCGTCGGTGAAGTCTGCCCATGTGGATCTTGGGTGCGGTCGCCGGTACCACTGGTACCGGACGATCGCCTCTCCTTCCAGGTGTGCAGAAGCTAATGGGACACGATCAGGTCCCTGTGTGTCATGGTAATTGAAGTATCTTTCTGTTCGCAGAAGCCAGGATGTGGGATCTCCCCCTGCGAAGATGGGAAACTCGATTCTTGCTATTCTTGATCCGCTTCGATGATTGGTGTCATTGCGCTCTTCCTGATTCGGCGCAGGTGGTGCCTATGCCAGTCGTTCAAGCAACGATGCAAATCTTTCTTTGATTTCTTTGACGTCAGCCGATATTCTTTGCATTTGTCCTTCCATGTTGTCGACTCTGTTCTCCATTGCGGATGACCTTGTGCTTGGCATTTTGGCTCTGATACCAACTTGTTAGGAACTACCTAACTCAGGGACTCTTTCGAGGGAGCCTGCCTCCTGAATGAGAGAGAGAGATAGATAGATAGAGAGAGAGAGAGAGATTGTATTCCCAAATCGATAATCCCCTCCTAGCTTCCTTTCCTTATTTATATACTGTTGTTACAATTCTGTTATACCCGCCTCTCCACTTGTCCAGTTTGTTCTAGTGATTGGTTGTTAGTTACATTCTTTAAAGGCTGGCGTGACCTTTTCTTGTACACTTGTATTCCCTTTATTTGTGTCTCAACATCCTTCTACTGTTTCAGTTCCCATTGATTCTATTAATCCTATTAATCCTATTACAGATAACCTGGACCTTCCTATTGCCCTTAGAAAAGGGAAGAGAAAGTATACTGCTCATTATATTTCACAGTACTTATCCTACAGTGGACTTTAATTAAGAATCAAACATGGGAGATTGTGGACCTACCAGAGGGCAAGGAGACTGTTGGATGTAGATGGGTTTACACAGTAAAATATAAGGCTGATGGAAGTATAGAAAGGTACAAGGCCAAGCTTGTTGCAAAAGGGTACACACAGACCTATGGCATTGATTATTTAGAGATCTTTGCACTAGTTGCAAAGATGACCTCTGTTTGGATACTTCTTTCTCTTGCTGCCACATACTCTTGGCCCCTGTTTCAACTTGATGTGAAGAATGCTTTCCTGAATTGGGATCTGCAAGAAGAAGTGTATATGGATCTTCCTGCTGGCTTCTACAGTGGTGCTGAAAAGGGAAAGGTATGTAGCATTAAGAAGTCACTTTATGGCTTGAAACAATCTTCCAGAGCATGGTTTGACATGTTCAGGAAGGCCCTGATTGCTTTTGGCTACACTCAGACTCGATCCGATCATACCTTGTTTGTGAAGTGAAGGGGATCCTTGGTGTTAGTCCTAATTGTTTATGTGGATGATATTGTTGTCACAGGGAATGACCTAAGTGAGATTGATTGTCTGAAAAAGAATCTACACAAAGAATTTGAAATTAAGGATCTTGGAGAACTTAGATACTTCTTAGGCATTGAAGTTGCAAGATCAAAACATGGAATTTTTATCTCTCAAAGGAAGTATGTCTTCGATCTTCTTCAAGAAACAGGGAAACTTGGAACAAAGGCAACCAGTACTCCTATTGATCAGAATCATAGGATTAATGCATCAGAAGGTGAGCCAGTAAAGGACATTGGGAGATATCAGAGACTTGTGGGTCGACTGCTATACTTGTGTATGACAAGACCGGACATTTCCTATGTAGTAAGTGTGGTAAGTCAGTACATGCATGCTCCACGAGTCCAACATTGGGAGGCTGTTGACAGGATTCTTACTTATCTAAAGGGACACTCGAGCAGAGGCATATTGCTTGTTGATCATGGACAGTTGAAACTAGAGGCTTATACAGATGCAGATTGGATAGGATGCCTTGATGATAGGAGATCTACTTCAGGAGTATGCACCCTTGTTGGGGGTAACCTTGTCTCGTGAAAGAGTAAGAAACAGACAGTGGTGGCAAGATCAAGTGCTGAAGCTGAATACAGGGCCATGGCACATGGAGTTTCAGAACTTCTCTGGATCCGTTCCCTATTGGGAGTGATTGGTGTACAGGCAGAAGAACCTATGATGCTGTATTGTGATAACCAAGCAGCAATTAACATTGCCCGTAACCCAGTTCAGCATGACAGGACTAAGCACATTGAAGTGGATAGACATTTCATCAGAGAAAGGGTGACTTCTGGGGAAGTTTGTCTCCCATACATTGCTTCTGATCTGCAGCTTGCTGATGTTCTCACAAAAGGTATTGCAAGGAACAAGCTGGAGCATGATCTACGCAATTTGGGAATGTGTGACATTTACTCCCAACTTGAGGGGGAGTGCTAAGTTGGGCCGATTTTTAGTTATTGGGCCCAATTGTTTTGTTCTTATTTTAAGTTGTTAAGTTAGGAAGTTGTTGGGCCTTAGGCCCATTAGCTTATGTTTTTTAAGTTGTGACTATTCAGCTACTTTAGTAGCCGCCCTACTAAGGGCATTCTTGTAATCTTTTATTCTTTTAAGTTTAAGTATAAAATATAATGAGGGGTTGGCGGCCAGAACTAATTTAATTCTGGTTATCATCCCACTCTTTCTTCCTCTCTTTTCTTCTCTACTGCTGAAACTTTTCATCCTCTTCTTCTTTCTCTTCACAAGGAATTCATCCTGATTTACAAACAGTGATTTCTACTTAAGTAATTCACATTTCTGTTATTCTCATTGTTTGGACATTCTGTTTCTATTATATTCAGATGGTTTGTCAAATTTTGATTAAATTTCTAGTACATAGAGATTATTTTATAGTGATACTGTGAAAACATTACCATTTTGTGTATTCTAACATGCTCCGAAAGTGTTAATGTAGTATACAGTGTTGTATCAGGTATGTGTTGTTTTTGATGCCGATATGCTTGGCATGCATACGTATTTTGGTATTGCGTATGCCAATAAGATTCATTTATTAGTTTTCACAAGAAAATTCTGCTCACTTCAGATATCAGTCTTCTATTCTGATATTATCTAAAACACAAACTAAGCATCTTTAGTAAGATTGGACAAAACTACCCCTAAGTGATCATGTGCCTTTGATATGACATTTTAAACAAATTTAAAAGACAAAATCCTCCTACATGGGCACCGAAGCAATAGAAGTAAAACAAAAATGACAAAATTTTTAGTTGGCCTGCATCAGTATAGAAGCTCTATTTCTTGATTGGCTTTTGGCTATATAAATGATTTTGAGGTTGTGGTTGCGTTACCTTCTAGGATGAATTGTTTTTTGCTACACTAGGGCTCGTGGATAATAATGTAATGATTTTTAACTAGTTTCTTCATATCTAATAACACTTTATTGATAAAAGTCAGGATGCTTATTTTCTCCCAAATATTGCAGAACTGGAGCAGGGAGAAGCATTGAAATATTTATATAGATGGCTACAACATCACCCAAAATATGGGACACTTGCCACTTTGGGTCAATCTGATTTTCCATATTATGCAGATGTAAGATTCCTACATAGAAAACTTTGTTATTTTTCAGGCTACTCTTCACTCTTGTTGTTTCCAGTATTAATAGATGCTCCATTTCATCCATTAGGTTGCCCATATGTTTGAATAGAGTTGTAGAAAATTGCCATATAACTGAGTACTTTGGTTGGGGAATGGCCTAAGTGCTGTGATGCATTTAGAAATTGGAAGAAAAATGCTTGACACTTTTTGTTTGGTTGTAGGTTGTTAAGTTATTCAATGAAGCTGCTCAGATGTCTCCAGAAGATGCTGATGTCCATATTGTTCTCGGTGTCCTCTACAATTTATCCAGGGAATATGACAAAGCGATTGCATCCTTCCAAACAGCATTGAAACTCAAGCCACGTGATTACTCTCTCTGGAATAAACTTGGTGCTACACAAGCTAATAGTGTTCAGAGTGCTGATGCAATATTGGCTTATCAACAGGTACCTACCTCAGTTCCTCATGTACTAAGTTTTACTAGTTGAGACCCGTGCTTTGCACTGGCTTTGTTAAGTAGAAATAAAGTAGGAGCCCTATAACATTTGTAAGTAGGCTGATCTAGTATAGTTTGGTTCAATTTTACTTGTGCCAACAAAACCAACACTCTCAGGTTGACCATTGGGCCAATTGAAACTGACCAAAAAGAACATAACACTGATTTTATTTATTTATTTATTTATTTATTTGCATTTTGGTTGGTTTAATCAATTTCCCAAGTTCTAACTTTCACTCCAATTGTTCTTACCAAGAAACTGTTTTGAACATTTAAAATAACTATCAAATAATCATGAATTGATACCAGTAATGTCAAATGTGGGTTCCACTTTTAAGTTTAACAATATAAAACTATTGATTAGGACAGTCAATCACTTTTTTAACCTTCTAAGTTTTTTTAGCTTTTGCCTTTTTGGAACTTTGTGTTTTAGCTTTTTGACTGAAGAGGCAGACTTGGAGACGGTAGATGATTGGCGGATTGGGTAGTCTGGGTAGCGGTTGACATTAATGAAATAATGTCACTAATGTCATATGAAAAGTCTCAAGTTTTTTTGGGATATGTGGCAGTGCCTTAAGTTTCCACGTATCCCACATTCCCACTGGTTGGGTTGGTTTCAGTCTGTTTACAAATAACCTGCAACCATACCAATTTATCTGGAGACTGGTTCTAATATTTATTAAAAAGAACCAGTCGGCTGCTTTTTAGAACTGTACATCTTGGGTTGAGTCAGTTCAGTTTGGTAGATTTGTAAAAGTTCGCAAACAAACTTAAGTCTAAGTCCAACCCAACCATGGGATTTAAATTTTACCAACTTTTAAATGGGATTTAAATTTTACCAACTTTTAAATGGGATTTAAATTAATGGAACCAAATTTTAAAACTAATAAATTTGTTGAGTGAAAATTCTTTTTCTTAATTTTTAATTTTATTACTGTTGAATTCAAATGGATTTGGAATTATAATTTTTATCAATAATAACAATTAATGATTATCTTATTATATTTTAGTAATTTATTAAATTATTTTTGTTATATTTTATTAATTTTATTATTTTTAAGCGGAATATACATGTATTAAAATTTTAATGTCTTTTTCGTTTTGTTAATTAATTTTAAATTTTATGTTCATATTAGTTATTTTTTATAATAAGAAAGTAAAAGTAATATTATTTATAATGCGACAGAATATAATTGATAATTTGATAGTTGATGTTTCAAAATTTAATGTTAGTTCAGACTGTTCAGTGGACCTATACAAACCCATACCCAAAATTCCAAGTAAGAGAAAACTAGAACCCCTATTGTGTTCAAAATAAACTTTTTTATCAGAGTACAGACTCTCCATATTGATAGAAGTTGGTAACAAGAAAATTCTAACTCCCACGTGATGAAAAAAAGTAAAAAGGACGATGATAAGGGGTTATTTCAGGGTTTTAGAGTGGGTAGACAAGGACAAGTGGTGTCATATTTGCAATTCACAGATGATACCTTGATCTTAGGGAAATTTAGGGGTATCTGGGATGTCAGAGCTTTGAGGTGTATTTTGAGGTTAGTGGAAGTGGTAATTGGTTTGAAGGTTAATTTGACCAAGTGTAATTTGGTAGGGACTAATTTGGAGAGAATTGTGGTGGAAAAGTGTTGATGAGAGAGATTGGACCCTATCTGTGAAAGGCAGTTACACTTGTTAACCATGTTGAAAACCTTCCTTTCCCAGATAAAGAATTATGGTCCAGATCAATTCCCCCCAAAGTAAACGTTTTTTGTTGGGAGGCTGCAAAGTAAATCTTAAACACCTATTACAGACTCCAAAGGAAGTGTAAAAATTGGACTTTTTCTCCTCATGTTTGTGTTCTACGCTGGAAAGACGGGGAAAACGCCAACCATCTGTTTTTGTAGTGCTCTTATACATCTCAAATTTGGCAGCATTTTTTACTCTTTGGTGGGTAAAGAGTAGACAGCTCCCTCAGTGGTGGTGGTCCTGGTGGATCTATGTTTTTTGATGGACAATTAAGTATTTTATTAATGACAATAAAGTAAGCAGACAAATCCATACAAAGCTGAGATCTCTCAGGAGGCACAAGTTGCTGCCTCAAAAACAAAGTAAAATTACAAATGAGCCTAGAATAATTGATCCCCGTTCACCCCTTGCTTAGCTAGTAGGTCAGCCAGCCCCTGTTTTCCGATCTCCTCTCCCCCCACTGAACTCTAACTGTGAGATTAGAGGTAAGCCATTTGAATCTTTTTATTTCTCCCCTAAAAGACCATGCTACTGTCTCTGGTTCTTTCAGCCACCCAGTTACCACTTTAGAGTCACCTTCAATGGTCAACCTCCTGAAGTTCAGTTTTTAGCAATCTGTGTTCCCTGTAGAGCAGCTTGCACCTCTGCACTAACTGCATCCCCCACACCAACTGGGCTCAGAATAAGGCCACAATTTGTCCCCCTTCATTCCTAAAATCACCCTCCAATGCCAGAGGGTCCAGGATAGCAAATGCTGCTTCCATCAAAGTTGAACTTTATGAAACCTTATTCTGGCTTCCAATGTACAACAGGTTTGTCCTTAACTGAAGAAGAATTTGCAACAGATACCCGGTTTCTCCATATGTTATAAAAGGAGTAAAGTGAGAATAAATCTAAAGATTTGGCCCAGTTTATAGCCCTCGTTAGTAGACATTCCCAAACAGTATCTAAAGCAGCCCTAAGCCCCTAACACATCTCCATAAAATTCTACCTCTTCTCTTAGGCCACCTAAAAGTTGTAGGGTCGAAAATCCCTCTGATTTGTAGAGGCATCACTTGCCTACCCCCAAAAAGATCAAAAACTTTTTCCCAAAGATTTACAACAAATGGGCAAGAAATTAAAAGATAGTAACAGCTCTTTCCATTTGCTTTGCAAAGGAAACACCAGCTTGGGGAGATTCAAAGGTTAGGCCTTTTCTTTTGCAAGGTATCCAGTGTGTTTAATTTCCCAAGAGAGGCTTCCCAACAAAGGGCTCCGACTTTAGGGGGAGTGGGTTTAGACCAAACTTCTTTCCAAAAAAAGGCTGAGGGTTAGGGACTGAGCACAACCGAGAGAAAAAAGAGGCACAAGAAAAAAGACCCAGAGGGTTGGGAGTCCAAATTCTATCATCAGGTTTAGAAAGGTCCAAGCAAACATTGTCTAGGGTTTTGATCAACAAAGCAACTTGATCAATCTCAGAATCTCTTAGATCTCTTTTGAAACCCAAATTCCAGATGAATCCAGAGGGTTGGGAGAAAGAAACAAATCTATGAACAGGTTCACTTTTGAAAAGGGAGAGGGAAAACAAAGATGGATAGAGATCATTAAGGGCAAAATTCCCAATCCAGGTGTCTTCCCAAAAGAGAATCCTATCACCAGTACACACATTATACCTGATAAACTGAGGAATTGGGGAAGAATACTATGAATAGCCTTCCACGGAGAGTTTAGAGTAGCCCACCGAGACACTCCAACATCCCAACCGTTTTCTGCATAACCATGAATACTACTCACCACCTTATTGCCAAAGCCTCTCTCTCTCTCTCTCTAATAGCCATCTTCAAAGCCATTTGCCCAATAAAGCTTGATTCTTCTTCCCTATATTGCCTAACCCGAAACTCCCTTACTCCTTACTTCCACAAACTAGAATCCCATCTCACCAAGTGATCTTTCCTTCCTTCACCAGGCTCCCACAAGAAGTCCCTCGTGATCTTCTCTTCTTTCAGTACCTCCCTTTGTGGCATTTTGAATACCGAGAGAAAGAACACTGAAGGTTAGTTAAAGTAGATTTATTCAAAGTGATACGACCCCCTAGAGACACATAATTCCTCTTCCAAGCTAACAATTTGTTGGTGCATCTTTCAAGAATTGGACTCCAAAAGCTTCCTTCATGTGGGTTGGCTCCTAAGGGCTTACCTAGATATTTCAAAGGCCATCTAGCGATAGGACAACCTAAGGTTTCTGCTATCCCAGTCATCTCCTCTACCAAGTTCAGTCCCACTACGCAACCTTTTCAAAGTTACTCTTCAACTTAGAGACAAATTCAAACAGTTTGATCACCTGTATTTTCTTTCTAGGAGAGAGAGAAAAGAGAGAGGAGAGGAGAGGAGAGAGAAGAGAAGAAGAGAGAGGGAAAACAGTTTGGGAATCAAAAAGTGAATAACATAAAATGAATAGGAGATTACATTTATACCCCTGGTGGCACACTCTAATAATAAACTAATAAAAAGAAGAAAAGATCAAGCTGACAACACACTAACAGCAAAGGTAAATAATAATACTAACAATACTCCCCCTCAAGTTGGGCTGAACATGTCTATCATGCCCAACTTGTCACACAACTCATTGTGCCATGAGTATGGAAGCCCCTTTGTGAGGACATCAGCTAGTTGCTCCTTGGAGTTGACATAAGGAGTACAAATTTCTCCCTTTTCCAATTTTTCCCTTATGAAGTGTTTGTCCACTTCAATGTGCTTGGTCCTTTCATGCAGGACAGGATTGCTGGCAATGCAAACTACCTGTACTTAGGTAGAAAGATCCCAAGCTTAATTGTTCCTTGCAATGGGCCTTTCCTTGTGCAGCTTAGGTGGAAAGCAAAGGAGGCCGCCTCAAAAGAAGGCTTGGGTCATCAATGAGATACCTCTTTGGAATAGCTAGATTTCTAACCTTATGTTAAGACCTATAGGCCAAAGGACAATCTCAGGTAGATGATTTCTATGGTAATTACTTATTGTTAATAATAATTTAATTTTTAACAATTATTATTAGATAAATTCGTTTTAATTTTTAATAGATTTACTAAGTAATATTATATTTAAATGGAATTTTGATTAATAAATCTATCTTTAGAATTAATAAAGTTTTATTAAATTTTATTTTTAACTATTACTTTGTATTATTTTAAATGGAATATAAATGGATTACAAATTCTATTGAATAATTTTAAAATGTGACTAATTTTTTAGTAATACTTTCACCATATAAAATTAAATTTTTGTTATAATTATTTATTTTTATTAAATTTAATTTAATTTTTTTGTCATAAAATAAAAAATAATTACAAATAAGGTGGTGTTTGGTAAATTTGAGGTCTGAAGTCTAAAAAAAAACCTTTGAAAACATTCAAAGCAGTTGTTCACAAAAATGATTAAAGTAAAATGATATTATAAAAAAGATTACAAAAATAATAAAATATGATAAAAATCAATAAATAATATAAAATTTAAAAAATGGCAAAATAGTAAAAATTATTATAAATATATAATAAAAATGTAGAAAAAGAAAATAATAATGATAATAAAAAATTAAAATATAAAACAGATCATATAATATTATTAAAATTATAAAATGAATATAAAGCATAATAAAGAGATTTATAAACATCAAAATAGCATAAATTAAGGTAAAACAATAAAAAAAATATTATAAATATAATAAAAATATAAAAATAAAAGATCGTTGGCTGGATCAAGATTGGACACCGATGAAGACCGCCATTAGTTGTTGTTGTTGAATGGAAGAACAATGGTGAAAACAAAAAAAAAAAGGTTTAGGTATGGGAAAAGAGGCTTTAAGATGCAGAGTAGTTTTGGATTTTTTGAAAATTTAAAGGGGCATCACCGGAATACAGTTTTTGTGTGCTACCTCCAAATGTGTTAGGGGTAACTTGGAGTCTAAACCATTCAGAGCAGTTTTTGGTGTTCAGTGGCAAGTGGCAACATTAGGAGGTATAGTCGAACAACCACCGAGTGCTGAAAAAGCAAAATTGTCAGCATTCAATGGTCAATTCGGCACTGCCGAACACTACCTAAGTTGATTTAATTTAAATAAGGTAATTATGTTATATATTATAATTAGATGGAGCATTTTTATTAATGATTATAATTAAATGCAAGTATACTAAACGGATATGAAATTATGATTTGATTGAAATGGATATAGATAGAGCTAAGGAATTTTAGGCAATTTAATGGAGTAATTGAGAGGAGGGAGAATTGATGGTATGAGTGAATGATGTTATTAATGAGGGGAGATAATTGGAGAAGTTAATAAGAAAGAGAGAGTAAGTGGTGAGTTAATGAAGAGAGAAAATGGGAAAAGTTTTTGGAAGTGATAAATGATTGGATACTTGACTTATGTTGTTCAATTTTAAAATCAATTGAGAAAAAGAAAAAAACAGAAAAAAGACAAATATCAAAGGAGAAAGGAGAACACACCATCACCATCCTTGTTTAGTGGTGAGTTATGGTTTTCTCATTTCGTGTCCATCCTTTTAGTGAGGTCACCATCCACTTGAAATGATAAACATTTTGCAAAAGCCAAGCTTTTGAGCAAACCACTAATAACAGAAGCAACTTTCAAAGTGATGTGTAAAAAGGTTAAAGAAAAAAACCAGAGTGATGCAGAACCTAATGAGTCAGATTTGGGAATTTTTGAATTTTTATATTTTTGTATTTCTTGATGGTAGGGGTATAGCTATAACTTAGAATTTTTTTTCTATTTTATTTAAGTAATTAATATTTTTCTTGGTTGCACAATTTTGTCTATTTAATTACTGTAGGAATGTTCTAAGGCTACTGAGGTAAGGCAAGAGTTTGGTCCTGTCTCTCCTTGATGTGTATGCCTCTCCTATGACTCCACCTTACCTCTTAGCCTTCAAAACCATTGCAGAGAACAATCCATTGGCCCATCTAGTTTCTCTCGTCTGTTTTATTATTTCCTTTTCTCTTCTGTTCTACTTAATTTTTAAACAAGTTTACAACAAGAGTGCTCCATACATTGAAGCTTCTGCTTCTTGACTTAAGCAAGTGAAACTCTTGTTACTGAACATTTTGAAAACAATTGGTTCTAGAAAGATCATTGAGTTTTTTTTTTTTTTTGTCATTTCATTTCATATGCTTCAAAGTATGTCTTTGTGCTTGCACCTCCACATGATCTTTTCTTTCTTGGTGCTAAGAGGGAGAAAGTAGTTCATGTAGTCAATATGTAGGAGCAAGAAAGGAAGGTGGTTGACCTTCCACATAAGTTGGAGCATCTCACTAGTATTGATTATCTTCAAAAGGGCCTCCTACCAAAATGCTTTAGTCCTTGGAGGAGTAGGTGGGGGAAGGTTATAAGAAGATTATCTCATCATTTTAGAATATTTTTCATCAGGGAGGAGGAAAACCTCTCTCAAGCAACTAATATGATAGATTGTCTTGTCGTTCTCAGTCTGTAAATCTTTTCATAAATCTAAGCTCCCAATAAATGCTAAAGGGGGAGGACTGCACAATCAGCAATGAATTTATCTTTGAACAGAGGAAGGTTATAGAGTCTAGGGTAAACCTTGATTTAAGGTCGAGGGCTGTTTGATACTTTGATGATGCATTTTTTAAGTGTTTGATATGAGATCCTGCATCTTAACTTTCTTATATGGATTCATTTATGTTTCTTCTTTGGCCTCTGGTGTGCCAGGCACTAGATTTGAAGCCGAATTATGTTCGTGCATGGGCAAATATGGGTATAAGCTATGCCAACCAGGTAAATTCCTACATCCGGTTCTTCATTAGTGTTTTTTGCTGTTTACTAGTTAAGAACTGAAATTAAGTTTTGATGATCTGTCTTAGAATCTTAATTGTCATTGTAAATGCCGATAAAACTGGTGGAATTTACTTTTCAGCATTACCTTTGGAAATAGATAGCTCCTTTGACATTTAGTGGAAAATAAATTTTAGTAATTGACATCAATAAATTTAGTGGAAAATAAGTTGTATTGCCTGCTGCAACATGCAATACGGTGGTTGAACCCCATTGTCACCTCTTCTTTGGGACAACAATGTTGTCATCCTGTGATCCTATCATTTTCCCACAAGCATTGTATACAAACATCTTTCTCTGGTGAATTGGGATTTCCTTGTGGCTATACTATTCTGGTGCCAAAAAAACCTTTTTATGGTGTATTGAGATGTTAAAACGTGCGAGTGTCTAAATAGGGTGGTTTCAGAGAGGAACTGACAGAAAAAACCCATTGATGGGAATGGATGGAATTACATGTTTGATAAGGTGAATCCTGTAAAGAAAAATGGCCAATGTGGCTAGTATGAGGACATTTGTCTTTCTGTTTCTCTTCATTTTGTGGTTGTGTATTTATATAGGTCAAGATACCCTCCTGTGCAGTTTTTACATGGATATTTGATTCTTGTCCTACTGTGACATGCCTGCCTTTACACCATGTTATAATGAAAGTAAGACATACAATTAAAAGAAAAAAAAAAGATTAAAATTTTGGTCCTGTCTGTTCCTTGATTCAGGGTCTATATGAAGAATCTATTCGGTACTATGTCCGAGCACTAGCAATGAATCCCAAGGCAGATAATGCCTGGCAATATTTGAGGATTTCTCTCAGGTATCAAACTGAAGTTTTCATGTTTGATTTTGTAATTCAAAAACTATGGTTGAAAATATCCGTACTGATATTGCTTTTTGTTTCTCTGTAGTTGTGCTTCTCGAAATGACATGCTGCAAGCTTGTGACTCAAGGAATCTAGATGCTCTACAGAAAGAATTTCCACTCTAATACCTCTTTGAGAACAGCAGATGATAAAATATTCACCACAGTTTCATTCTTGCCATCATTCTATAAGATGAAATTTAAATCTAGGTTTCAAGCTATGCTGACATTGTATTATAGGTTCAAGTTCCATGCTATTGTGCTGCACATTTCAATTTAGGCCGCCAGCAGTTTGATATACCACCCGCAAGTGTTAGGAGGTGAACAAAGATGAAACACGATGGATGAAATAATAGCCTCTGAGATCCCCATTTTTGGGGTGTAATAAAGCTGATAAGGAGGTATGTATTCTATAGCAAATGAAAATCTCAAGAGAAATGGACTCGATCATGAAAAAATTGTTTCATAATCCAACGAAATCTGATCAACGGCACTTGTTTTATTAGTGAAGTATACTGGTATTAACAGCAAAAAAATTTTACAAATATGAGGTTCTAACCAGCTCGGGGGAGGAGCCTTCCAGGCGCAATTACCATCCTGATTCGTAACAAACTTGGCTCCCTCATAGGCAGAAGTATAGGTCCTGGATTTATATATACATTTAACAAAAGCCAGCTGCTTTACAAAGATTAGAATTTGATCCAAAAAAAAAAAAGGTGAACTTTTCCGAGAAATGCTTTACTGGTTTCCATTGATAACTGATACGACTAATTGAGTGTCGGAGAACACCAAAGAATCCAGGCTTTCTGAGTGAGCAAAAGAAAGAGCTTTCAAAATGTCTCCCAATTCCGCTACCATAGGTCTACCACTAAGCCTAATTTACCACCTGCCGCCATGATAAACTGCTTTAGAAGCATTATAAAGTATAATTACAGAATACAAAAGTACATCCATTTTTACACAAACCACCATTACATAGAGAATACATTCAAATCCATGGAAATTGATGGGAGGGATTCAGAAAATCTAGGGGTATTGCAAGGGTTTTTCAAACATTAGGTTATTTTCTAAAATTGAGGGTAGTTTTAGTATTTTAACTATAAATAAATGATGCACTTATTTAACACCCAAACAACAGGTCCGTGCAGGTTCCTGAAAATTTCATTATTCCTGACTTGCCAACCAAGAAAATATATTATTAACATTACAGTCGGTAAACTATACTCAGATTAGCAAAATGTCAAACAATTTACCAAAATTTTCACATCGATCCTCCTGAAGAACAATGATGATCAAAGACTACCAAATAAAACAGCATAAACATAGGGACAAAGTTCAAAGTATTGACACACATCGGCCCATATCGGCTAATACGTATCGTGTCAATGGCTTTCTGATATGCTCCTACAGGGGTTGTCTCAGGTCAGACTATAGTTCAGAGGGTAGCTGGGACTTGACCGATCCCTCTAAATCAGTTTTAAAAAATAAATAAATAAAACATAAAAAAAGTACTGATACAGGGCATATCGGCCTGTTGATACTTTGAACCTTGCATAGGGACAAAAAAATAAAGAATTGTAGTTTTCATTAGCGCTTGAACACTAAGGTCAAATACTATCACTACCTATCCCTCTCTCCAAAAGATAAGATTTCAACAAAATAAAAAAACCTCTGCTCAATCTCCACAAAAATAATTCAAACCTCCAAGGTGTTTCCAAATACGCCTCATCCATCCTAAATTCCCTTAACTTGCTCAGATTAGTTGGCATCGTCCATTCTTCCAGACAAATTTCTTTTAGATGAAAAGTTACCAGCAGTAGTTTTTATCCATAGTAACTTATCAAAGCTCCTCTTGAAAACATGAGTACCCATGATTTGATCCACCTCTGTAAAAATAAAGAGGATAATTGAGCCACATCCCAGCTACCCTCTATGTGACTTATAAGATCTTTTGATCTTCAAATCCCTAGATTCAAAGGAAGGAGGACTAGTAAGGCTCAGCAAGGAATTTCTTATTCTAACCAAAGGAAGAGCCTATATATTCAATTCTGACTGAGCATGAACTTGGATACATATGGATGGAAATGAATACATAAGTTCATGGGCCAAAGTCTTCCAAGAAGAAGATGCTGTCTGAGGAAATGAATAAATCCCCTCTCCAACTTTCTCTCTCTTCTTCCTAAACCATTTTACCAATTAGACCAAGTTTTAGCCCCCTAGCAATATTTAGTTCAACTAACTCAAAACAGTCTACAAATTCCTTAAAAAAATATTACAAAGGTTTGCATTGACGGCAAGCTCAAACAAATTCTCATTGTCATAATAGTCAACATCAAAATCAATATCAAAGTCACCTAAAAAACACAGATGATTGTGCACATTGAGATGATTCATATCATTCATGAAATTTTGCTAGAACATATTTCTTAATCTTTTGTTGGGTTTAGCATGCAAAAAACACGATTCCATTTAATAAGAGGGGAAAAGTGCTTCACAGTGAAAATGATACACCAGTTTGTAAATTTTATAATTAGACTCTTGAAGAACTCCTAGTTTTTCACTGCCTCTCCCTTAAGACGCCATGGCCAAAACTTGCTGAACCCTGAAATGCTTCCTCCTTTATTGTTGTTCCATGTATTCATAGAAGTTTCAGCCAATCTCCATGGAAGTTCATGGGCCTAGTAGCAAAAAAAAAAATGCTCTGGATCATCAGGCAACTAAGACCCCACAAGCAATGTTGATAGCTATGACCAATTCTATCACAATAGAAATAGATGCGTAGGAGATTTTCATACCTAAAGATAGCTGCCCAATTTGTTAAGCTCTTTCTAATGCAACTAGCTCAATAGGCAAGTTATGAATCCAAACCTCATATTGGGTATCTCTGAAAGGCTTTCCCATCCGCCATCCTACGCTCTTTTCATTGAGTAATAACTAACCATTGGGATTTTTTATTCTTACAATCTTTAAACTTTGCGAAAAGGCCAATTTTGATCCTAAAGAATAAAAAGGGTCATTTTCGATCCTACACTTTGATAAAAATATCATTTGTAGGCAAAAATAGATGGTGTTTGAAAAGGTGTCGACATACACTACACAATGTTGTGGCACTACCAAAGTTTTAAAAATGTCATTTTCAACCTTAAAGTTTGAAAATGGGCCACTTTAATAAATTTATTTAAATAAATTACTTCAGGGTTTAATTAAATGACCCTAAAGTATTAAATTTATTTAATTAAGTTAATTAAATATATTAAATAAATTACACTAATTAATATAATTAAGCGATTAAATCAGTAAATTAAATTAATTAAGGAAACAAAATTATTTAATTAAATTAAATAAACAAAATGATTAGAAACTATTTACTGGACCGAACAGTTTAGCAGTTCAATGGTCTGGGACAACAGTTTGCTAATCAAAATGTTTTTTTTTTTTTGGAAAAAATTTCAGGCGAACTATAAAATGGAACTAGGCGATTGACCCATTCCTGGGTCGAATGGTTTGACCACATGCATATAAAATGGAACTAGACAATTGACCAATTGTCGGGTCAACAAATTGTCAACCTAAATTATTGAACTGCTAAACTATTCGATCCGATAAGTGGTTTTTGGGTTATTTTTTATTTTAATTATATTTTTTCCAAAATGTCATGGGTTGATCCGTTCAGACCAAACAATCTAACCGTTGACCAAAGTGGTTCCATTTGGGTTGGTTGTTAAAACCTTGCTTAATTGGCTTAATTTATTTATTTAGATTGATTAGCTTCGTTTATTAAATTTTATTAGTTAAGATTTTTCCTTAATTAATTAATTTACTTATTTAATTGCTTATACTTTATTATCTTAATTAGTGTAACTTTTAATATATTATTTGTAATGATTAATTTATTATTTGTTTACCAGTTTACCATATTTTGTTATATTTAAATATTGTTGTTTTTGTTAATATTTCTAAATTATGTAATTAATAATTTGATTTTTAATTTTTTTAATTACTTTAATTACCAAAATTATTATTTATTTTTAAATAATTACTTTTAAATTAAACTAATGTAATTTTATTAATTATTTAATTGTTTTTTACTATTTATTTACATATTTATCTTATTAATTACTTAATGCATTTTTAGTTATTGAATTATTTAAGTAATTAGTTAATTATTTTCATCAATTATTTAACTATTTTCAATTCTATTGAACCTCTAATGATTTGTATTAATTATTTAATAAAAGAAGTATGCCAGTAAACCCAAAAATTCAATATCTTTCATCTAGTCAAGTTTAAACTCCTCCCCTTGTCTCTTGAACAACCTATATTCCATTTTCAAGACACTTGATTGGCCAGTCTTTCTAGCCTTAACCATCCAGGGCCAGTTCTTTGGGTCGGTTCAAGTAGGGTAAACCCCTAGACCCTGGAACCGGCATGGGTGAGAGTCGGTTCCAAGAATTTGGAACTAGACCCCTGACTAGTAAAGATTGAATAGGGTCAGTTCAGGCCCAATTCAATGTCGGTTCCATTCAATTCCAAGTAGAACCTACCCTTTTTCTCACTACTAAGTTAAACATAGATTCCATTCTAGCTAGTTTTCTTCCATTCGCCAAAAGTTTCAAACTTAAATCCACTACCCTCACACCTTTCTTAACCAATTATATGTTTACTTTTGACATCAAATTCTGTTACAAACTTCCCTAATTTAACCTTCCATCAATCATCAATTCCATTTCAATCCTTCTCGTTAGTCAAAACCTTCTAGCATCAAATTGCCACTTTGGAATCCCTCATGACAAATTGGATATTGTCATTAAACTCAAAACACTCTAAAACATGCACTTGTACATCAACCTCAAATATGCCATTTTGACATCCCTCATCACTAATTAGACAATGCCATAAACTCCAAACACTTCAAACCCTCACTTGTCAAGTTTTTTTATCAGACTAGATTCCATTTCAGCCCTCCCCATTGGCTAAAAACTTCCAACTTCAGAAATCAGTAGTACCACCTTGATGTCTATTTTAATCAAATATGCCATTAAACTCCAAACCGTGGTTTTTAAAACCGATCTGGAGATCGAACTGGTCAGGGGTCCGGTTACCGGGTCGAACAATCCGACCGTTCAAATTGAATAGTCGGCCCGTTCTAACAAAAAAATTGAAAATTGAAAAATAAATAAAAATCGGTCAAAACCGTTTGAACAGTTTGAACGATTAACTGCCCAGGTCAGCGGTTTATTGACCAAAATCAACGGTTTTTAGAGAAAATCCGATTTTAGGGAAAAACGGCCGATTTCCAATTTTTCCGATCCAACCGTCCAATCCAGTCCGATTTTGAAAACCATGCTCCAAACACTCCAAAATCTCCACATACCAAATTTTATCTCAAGAAACACATTTTACCCCCACAATCTCTATCCTAATCCTCAAAAGACCTCTATCTTTTTTACCTACCATTGCAAATGAATAAGATTCCCCCTATTACTCTCCAACCATATCTCTAGCTAGACACATGAAACAAATAGATCAAAATTATCCCATAGGAAACTCCCCTTACAATAATACCAATTTGGACACTTTCTTCTCTAAATTCTTAAAATGCCCTTACATAAAACATATAAATACTAGAGACTCCCAGCCATCTGGTATCCAAGCAAAAATTCAGAGGAGGCATGGGAACCCTCCAAGAGAACAAGTGGCTCTCATTGTGGTTTTGTAACAAATATTCAATTGTCTGTCATTAGGATTGATAAATCAAGATTTTGTGATGAATGTTCAATTGTCTATTACTATAAATCAAAACTTTGTGATTTTGAGATAGACATTCAATTGTCCATCATTATAAATCAAGATTTTTATGAGAAAGGTCTAATTGGCTATTACTACAGGTTATTTATAGTGACAGAAAATCGTTTCGTCAATTTATCGTCACTAAATATTAGTGTTGTAGTGACGAACGTCCATCATTAAAAATCAATTTTCTTGTTAGTGAGTAAACAAATTGGGAGAAGCCTTTCCTATATGCTAGAACTCTCCCCTTAAAGAGAGGCTCTAAGAAAACAAGGTTGAGACTAGGGTTGCAACTGGGGTTGGGTTAGCCCAAAATCGACCCTAACCCAACCCAAAAAAAAATTGGTTTGGGTTGGGTTAAGTTGATGATTGAGTTAGGGTTAAGTTTGGCTTTTACCAAATTGGCTTCACCTTGGGTTGAGTTAGGGTTGATCCTTTGGGCAACCTAACTCTACAACTGTTATTTGTACATAAATATTGTAGTCCCATTACATATTGTAATGTTCATTTGTCTTAACTTTTAAGTCCTAACCCTAATGACAAGTCATTATTTTTCATGATTTTACATTTTCAATAGTAGATCTGTCATAATTCATAGTAGACTTTAATCATTTGAAACATCCCTTTTTCTTCATTTCTGTACTAAAACGATCAATAAAAACATCAAACAAGCAAATTCCAATAAAATAATATATGGTAATGAAAGTTGAGCTTAGGTCTCTTAATCAAATATTTAGATAACTTGGGAGATTTTAAGAGAACATGGGAAAGGTTGGATTGGGCCAATCCCTTCTTCGGGTTGGGATTTTAGGTTGATTTAGGGTTGACTAGGTATGATTGATGGTTGGTTGGATTAGGGTTACGGCGGATTAGGGGTTCAGAACCTCAGATAGGGCTAGGGTGACATCAACCCGGCTTGACTTGCACACCTAATCGAGACTCAAAGCAACCGTTAGAAATAGCATATATGTAGGCGGTAGGGCATAAACAGTGTCAATGTTTCATATTCAAGGGCAAATTTATAATTTTACATCATTACATCTGATAAATAAAAGTGGACGGCAGAGAGGAGTCTTAAAAACAAAACTCTCGCTTGTTTGTTCTGCCAATCTGCCTTGCCTTTATTGAAGGGTCTGTTTAGTTTGCAGGAATAGGTATCTGGAATCGGAACCGGAACTCAATTATTTTGGTTGTGCAGAATCAAAATCTTATTTCTATTCTTGGTGGATTGACATTCCCTTATTCAAGATCTCCTTCCCTTGGGAATGAGAATTCATTCCAGTTGATTCTGATTCTAATTTCCATCTGAACCAAACAGGTGGAAAGAATAAACCATTCCAATTCATGTATTTCCGGTTCACAATCAAATTATCCACGTAGAAAAGGAATATGATTCTAGACTCTGCCTTTTGTCAAACAAGTAGAACGCAAATGAGAAAAGAAAATGATAAATGGGCATTCATGACCCAAGATTCCTAAGACAGATTACTCAAATTCAAGATCCTCCTCTGTTCATAAGAGGGTCCATAATGCAGTAAATCAACCTTGGTTCGAATAACTCCAAATTTGATATTTATTTGGCCTGAGAATAAGCTTCAATGGTAAGGTTATGGGCATTACTTGATGGAACCAAATGAAGTTGCATCTGGCCAGCACTATGCATTCCAGGTTTAATCCAAAATCTGATTATATCCGCTTTTGGTTTAAACCCAAAATTTGGAGACCCGGAACCATCTTTAGGTTGAAAACAAGAAACTTCATACTCTCCGACGACCCAGAAATTTGTTGTATGCTATGGACTCTACGACTCATTTATAGAAAGACATGTAGAAAGGTTGGTCTTGCAAGCTACGTATGACCGACCATCTTTCTTACCGAGTTACTGGTTTTGTTTTTGGTATTAAATTGCTCGAAAAAATCAACCTCTTAAATCTGCCTTCCCAGTTTTCCACCCACCCATATATGCTTACACGACATACCTCTAGAATTTGATTACAGTATTGAAACGCACGAAATGTAAATATATACTTTTTTTAATTGCTTTTTTCATGACTACTTTTTCAGGGTTTGGTAAGATAACAGGGTTTTTATTTATTTATTCATTTTTTATAATGATGTTTCAAGGTATTGATGCACAGGCAAGGTTCAAAATATAGTACGCCTGATATCTGGAAGGGGCTATTGATACTTTGAACCTTATTATTTTTTTAATTCTTTTTCATAACATTCACAAGAGGGGCATTTTTTATTATTTAATTACTAAAACCCAGACTTATGCAAAATACCTTACAAAAGGGATGTATCAGTACTTTTGAACCTTCCTCTTTTTATTTACCTTTTTTATTCAAAACTTCACAGGAGGGGGATCTTATGCTATTTAATTATTAAAAGTTTAAAACCCATACTTTTGTAAAATACCTTATTGAAAAAGGGATGCATCAGTACTTCGAATCTTACTCTCTTTATTTACTTTCTTTTATGTTTTTATTCAAAACCTCACAGGAGGGGCATTTTATGTTGTTTAATTAATTAATTATAAAACCCAGACTTCTGCAAAATATCTTTAATCAAATCATTCGAACCTTGCACTCGGGATCTGCTGCTTGCACTGCTGTGTATCACTTGCTACATAATCAATGTAGCAAATGAACACTTGATTGGCAAGTATTCAAGCGTGATTAGCTACATAACAAGTGGGACACAGGTCACACAGCAGGTCGGAAATGCTAGCAGCAGATCCGAGCTCATCAATGCACACAATTGTTTACTTTTCCCTGATGATCTTGTACGATACATTGCAATATTTTGAACGTGAAATCCTTGATCACAGCTACAATTCCGAGTCAAAACAGTTTCACGGCTACAATTCCCCTTCCCTCACCAGCCTCAGCAATGACTTTGAATTTGTCAAGGTTAGAATTTCAGGGGTTCTGAAGTTGGAGAAAATGCTTTCAGTTTTTCGTCGTATCTAGATATCAAAGAGAGAGACATTAATAGGCCAACTTAGAATAAAGCAGTTTCAGATCAAACAGCAAGAAAAAATGCAGCCTTTTTCTTTCTTTTTTTTAATTTTTTTTTCTTTTGTAGATGCAGGGATGGAGGAGAGGGGGGTTACAGTAAACAGTAAGAGGAGCAAATACATGCGGAACTAAATTAAAAACAGCTTCTGAAGTTGTAATTACCAGATGAATCAAGAACAGTGAAAAGAAGTCCCTATATTTCATCAGAGGCACTGAAGTCCCAGAGAAGCTCGGCTAAACAGAAAGGGGAGAACAAAATTAATCAGTAATAGCGACCACCAGTGTTGTAAGCACGACCCCCAGGATAAGGACCCCTTGACTCAAATCCATGACCTCTGGTACCCCCAAGGAGTTGGGCCCGTTCTCTGTAGGAGTCGAATTGACCCATTCCATAGGACCCATGTGGTTCTCCAGCTGCGGCAACAGAGCCACCATACCCTTGTGGGTCGCTTGGGCCCGTGTTGTTCTGATAGTGACTCATTCCTGCTTGCTGATACTGCTGCTGCCGTGCTTGTGATTCTCTACGAAGAAACTCATCTCTGCGACTGGCATGGCGGGCCCGAAGTGATGTCAATTTTTCCTGATATTGAGAATTTATCTCACTTGTTCTCTGAAAAAACCAAACACCATAAAACATTAACAAAACTACACAAAAGTAGACAATTACACAACCATAAGTAAACGTTGAAAAGTTGTGATAAGATCATGTACATAGATGATACCTTGATTTAAAATTGGACAAATAAATCTAAAACAGCAACAAATAAGAGAGCAATAGCAAGAGAAGAAATAGTAACTTAGTAAGGGAGCAAAAAGGTCCATCTGACACCCACTTAATTCTATTTACATTAAAGGGCAATCAAGTGTACAATCCCCAAATACCCCCTGCCTGCCCCACAAATAAAGAGTAAAATATACAGTAGCACAGGTAAAGAAATCAACAGCTTTTGAGCCATCACAGAAATAAAGAAATAAAGAAATCAGCAACTAGAAATGAAGAAAATAAACAAAGAGTAATTGGAAACGGGCAGAAAACTGAAATCTCAATGCTCCCTCCCCCTAAGTGCCTTGAGTCATCTCCAGCTTATTCTTCACAGAACTTTCTGCTAACTGTATGTTGGAAGTAAAATAAGGTAGACAAACTTCACCGGAAGTCACCCTTTCATAAATAAAATGTCAATTCACTTCTATACGCTTGGTCTTGACATGCGGGACAAGATTATAGGCTATATTTGTTGTGGCCCTATTATTACAATATAACATCAATGGTTGCTCCATTCCATCCTTACTCCTAGTTCTCCAAACAGAAGATCTACAACAGCTCTAATATACACCCTGTGCTATAGCTCTATAAACACTAAACGTATAAGTTACAACCAGACTATTTTTTACTCATCCATGATATCATGTTGCCAGCAACAAGATTACAAAAATCTTGATAATGCCATAGAAAAGCTGTCAAGACCCGAAGCTTTAAATCTTTCCATTGCAAATACTTCTTCATGAACCTCTTCCACGCTCAAACCACACTAAAATTCCTTTCTAAAAGGGCTACTTGGGTTTCAGGCGCTCTATTCCATTCCAAATCCTCCATAGGACCACATCAAGGTGCCTTTCTGCTAAGGTAGCAAAGATTGACTTAAAATGATCCACTAAGCTCTTAACAATTTCCTCCTCCCAAAGAGTGAAAGAACTTTGTGATGCTATCTCCCTCTAGGAGCCATTTACATCTCAATTTTTGCCTCCATGAAATTTCTTCCTTCCTCAAAATTCCTTCGAATTCCACTTTTACACTCCACCCTTCTGATCGAAATCCCTATAGCAATTCTCTCCATGATTCTTCTAATCTCCCAAATTCTTGTTTGCTCCATTCTTTGATCCTTTCTTTCAATCTCTTCAGTTTCTTGGTAAATCTCACCCTCTATTCCTTGCATTGATTCCACTCTCCTCCCACTAAACTTTTATTTGTTAAATGAACTTTGGGGTTTCCAAACACATATTTCCAAATCTAAAGGGTGTGGCGCCCCCAAACTTTTACTACTGCACGGCATAAGATGTTAGTTGACACAGGAGTGCTATAAAAATTTAAGCTGTTAGTTGACACAGGAGACCTCCACATCAATGTAAGAGGGACCTCCACTACACTATACAACTGTGCCCAATACAATCTCTTCCTTCTCACACCCTGCTTAGCTAATGAATCAGCCGTACCATTAGCTAATCTTCTTACCCAGCAAAATCAAGAAATTAGATCCCTTGGCAATTGTTTTATCTTCCTCATGTCATTCCTGTATTGCCATATTCTTTAAATTTCTTCTCAACTTACCACTATCTTTGAGTCCCCTTCCACCACAATGTTTCTCAAGGTTAGTTGCTTGAAAATTCTTAACCCTTGTAGGGTAGCCAATAATTCTACTTTCACCGAGTCTCCTTGTCCCACTAGACCTGAATTTAGAGCCAAAATAGCCCTATTATGGTCTATAATCATTCCACCTATACCAGCCAAACATGAATTCCTTAACCACAAATCAAAGTTCAAGCAGCTGGGCCTAGGTGGAGACCAGGGTGACTATGGCAGAGACCTAGATGTAGATGAGGATGCAATCCATTGGCACACTCTAGAATTCCATCCATGGAGAAAGGGCCAAACATTTCCTTGGTCTTTGCCCAATGCAATATTTTAATTACAATGCTGTCAAGTGTCAAACACTTCTTCCATTCCCTATGTTGTTTCCTTGAAGATTCTTGCATTTTCTACCTCCCATATTTTCACAGTACAGCCACCCTTGTGCATCATCATAATACCCTGCCTCTCTTCCAAGGCATGGTTGTAAAAAGCTGAATTGTGCGAGATCTGGCAACTGAATTGAGAGGTACATACTTTTTTTTGAGTAAGATAAGGTAAATTATTAAAAAAAAAAACAGAGTATACAAGACGTATACGAAAACAAAAAGAAAAAAAAAAAAAAAACAAGGGCAAAACAGATCCCACAAGCCACTCCAACAAAACAAACAAGTGGGCCTGAGAATGCACAAACAAGACCTCTCACAAACAGCACCCCAACCTAGAGACCTCAGCTAACCTACCTACAGAGGCCCAAAAACATCCCCTGAACCATGACAAAGCAAAAACTCGCTAGTGGACACTAAATCCTTCTGCCTCTGCCTCTTCTACCTCTCCCTCTAGCACTACGAGTCCCAAAGGAAGGAGGATCAACAACCGGAAGGTCATAGCAATCCATCAGCAACTTGACTTTCTAACCCCGAATGGAAATGACGAAGAATCAGACATGTACTCCGACCACGAGCTTTCTGACCCCACTTCTGTATTAGTCTCGAGAGAAGGATCAACCCCGGAGGGGTGAGTCTTCAACTCCTCGGAAAACTTATCTTTAAGCCAACTTCGGACGCTGGTTTCTTGGTCCCCTAGGATAGACACCCCAAGAAACTTCCCAAAGAACACCGCTTTTTCCACCTGCTCATCAACGCCCACCTGTGTCAGTACAACATCCTCTTCTTGAAGTTCCGATAGGGGTTCACTCACCCGAGAGCCCCATCATTAAGGGGCTCTCTTGTGGCCAGAGAGCTTGTGGAGATTGAAAACCTATCTGACAAATTGGTAAGCACGGATTTTGCAATGGTGTTGTTACTGGTCTGAACTTCACAACTGCTACCTCCACTTCACAACTGCTACCTCCACATGCAGTATCTTTGATAGCCTCAAAGATATGCCAAATGGAACTCAAAGGGACAAGCCCTTGAGAGCCCATCGGCAATTTGGGCTTTAGAGCAGCCCAAGGCAGGCCCAGCCCATGAGCCTGATCATTGGGCAGCATAACAATCGTGATTGGGTTGACCCATAAAAGTCAGCCCAAGATCCAGGTCAGGAATCAAAATTTGAGGCTTCCCTGCTACTGAACACACTCAAAAGACTTTTGAAAATTGAATCACCCCAATCTTGAACAGAAACCTTTGTTGTTCTTGGATTCACTGGCACCCTTACCCCGATGCACCATATCCAATGAGATTCCATCCAGAGCTAGCAACAACAAAGGAATCCCGCCTCTTGTTTCTAATTGACTTGGGGCGCAAACCTCTGTTTCAGAAACTAAAGGCACTGGAACTGACAGTCTCTCTTCCCTTTTCCTCTGTACCAATCCCCCGAGCTCGAACCCACCGCTTCTTTCTATTTCTCCTCCTTTAATGGTGTTTCCGCTTGGGGAGAACCTCTGAAACCCTGCCCCTGAAGGAACGCCTGTTATGGGCCCGCGAATAGGATCTCGTCACGGGTCAGTCCACGGGGAGAACCTCTAGTTTTTCCTTGCCCCTCCCTTTGCATGCTGACCCTATCGTGGCGACCTAAGGGGTGATTTGTCCAAGAGATCACCCTAACTCTCCTTACTCTTCTCTTTGACTGAAATTTTGGATGCCTTTGTTCAATAATAGTGGCTCCTTAAATAGGAGATTACAAGAGTCCTGCTCTTAGGGAGACTCCTTGCTGAATAGGGAGACCTCCAACTCTATCTTGATAAGATAAGACTGATAAGATAAGATAAGTCTCTCTTAATCCTAATCTAATAAGATAAGATAATCTCTCTTAATCCTAATCTAATAAGATAAGAATATCTAATCTACTAACTTAATAAGATAACAAGATAGTCTAATCTAATCTGCTAAATGGATAAGACTGTTGTTGCCGAATTGGATAGGATGAGGACACCGAATCATTGTTGTTGCTGCTCCCAATACACGTCCACATCATTACTCCCCTCTTGGACTACGAGCTTGTCCTCAAGCTCGAATTCAGGATGGGTGTCGGGAAACACCGTCAAAGGAATCCCGGATAGGTGGAATGACTTTGYCCYCCTRGATCGGGTTCCAATGAAGAGGGTTCATCCTCATCTTCCTCTTGTTTCACCAGGAGGCAGAAAAGTCTCTTGCACTTGTGCCCTGCTGAGTAGAGTTCATCGCAATTAAAACATTGGTCCCCTCGCCCTACGTTCCACCATCTCAGCCCTGAACAAGTGCTTAATAGGGGGTGCAACGACGCTGCTCCCCACACTGGATGTGGATCTGGAATTGTTGCTCGTCTGTGGCTTCCGTTCTTGGCTGGCTGCTGAATATGGAGCCATTTCGAGTGGTTCCGGGGATGCCCATGCTGATGGAGGCCGCCCCATACTGAAGGTTCCGCGGCTGAGTTGTAGTTTGCRTTCGAAGGCACGAGCTATATTCATGGATGTAACCAGGTTGGGGGAATTCTGCATTTCCATGTCCAACCGCAGGAGTTTTGCAAACCCAGCGGTGAACATGTCTACCTGCTGGTTCGGTCGCACTGAAGATGCCCTCGCGAGGAGGGTCTGGAACTGGCGCTGGTATTCTGCCACCGTGTCGGTTTGTTTTAGGTTAATCGGCTCGCCTAAGGGGTTGCTTGTCAGTAGGGGCCCAAATCTAAGAAGACAGTAGGACTTGAACTGGGTCCAACTGAGCCCAGGTTCTTCCTGTTCTAATCGATAGAACCTGAGTTGCGCTTCCTCTGTTAAGTGAAAAGCGGCTATGCTTACCTTATCCCGGTCGTCTGTCCGTTGATTTCGAAAAAACTACTCGCACTGGTACAGCCAGCCCAAGGGATCTCCGTTGCCGTTGCACGACGGGAATTCTAACCTGTTGTACTTGGGGATGACTGCGGCCCCCTGGTTGTCGAACTGCTGTTCGCCGAAAGACTCCGGCAGATCTGGTCGACGGCCGCTAGTGACTGTCACCCCTTCTGTGTTCCTCTCTTTGCTAGAAAGGAATAACTCCATCAAACGTCGTAGCTCCCTGACTTCATCCTTGATTTCCCGTACTTCCAAGCTGGTCTCCATGAGCCGGTGCTCGAGTTCGTGGACCCTGGACGGCAGCTGCTCCAGATCACCCATGACGCCTTGCTCTGATACCAAAATGTTATGGGCTCGCGAATAGGATCTCGTCACGGGGAGAACCTCTAGTTTCCCCTTGCCCCTCCCTTTGCGTGCTGACCCTATCGTGGCGACCTAAGGGGTGATTTGTCCAAGAGATCACCCTAACTCTCCTTACTCTTCTCTTTGACTGAAATATTGGATGCCTTTATTCAATAATAGTGGCTCCTTAAATAGGAGATTACAAGAGTCCTGCTCTTAGGGAGACTCCTTGCTGAATAGAGAGACCTCCAACTCTATCTTGATAAGATAAGACTAATAAGATAAGATAAGTCTCTCTTAATCCTCTAATCTAATAAGATAAGATAATCTCTCTTAATCCTAATCTAACAAGATAAGTCTCTCTTAATCCTAATCTAATAAGATAAGATAATCTCTCTTAATCCTAATCTAATAAGATAAGTCTCTCTTAATCCTAATCTAATAAGATAAGATAATCTAATCTACTAACTTAATAAGATAACAAGATAGTCTAATCTAATCTACTGAATGGATAAGACTGTTGCTGCCAAATTGGATAGGATGAGAACACCGGATCATTGTTGCTGCTGCTCCCAATACGCGTCCACATCAACGCCCATCCTCACCCCCAACACTAAACTCACATGTCGGAGCAGGGTATGGCTTTCTCCCAAAGATGGACATAGTATATGGATGCAGGTTGGAATCCCAACTGTTTTCCTCTTCTTCCATCACTAACCACCAAATGGGTCTCCTCAGTTTCACTCCTAACGATTCTGGCCCTTCCACCACAAAGTTTACCACAAAAAATTCCCCCAAAATTTCCAACGTCAAAGATTTTAGTATCTCGTGCGAGACTTACGCCCATATCAGCAACCTCACTGCTTCGATGTCTGTCCAACGGAGGTTATCCTCCGCCACACTGGCAAAGCCACCCACGGCGTTTCCGAGCTCCCTAAACATTTCCAAGCTCCAGGCATGGAGTGGGAGCCCAAAACCCGTACTCGCCACCGTTGGGATCCCCACACAGCTTTTTCCTTCTCCAACCCCGGATCCCTCCGAAAGAGTGTTAAGGCTCTTCCTCTGAGCCGGAACGATCTCTTTCCCACCAACCAGATAACCTCAAGTTCTGATTCTAGAACGCGACCACCTGCTAACTGCCTGAACTCCGGTTCTGTACTGCAGTTCCACAATTGAAACCTGAAGCTGCAAATCCTTCTTCCAGAGAAATTCCTCTTCAATCTCCCCAACCAAACACCTCCTCAGCCAAACTCCCTTTCCTTTACTCCAAGCTCGCCAACACAAACACGTCGACCCACTGAAGTTATCCGAACTGTCGCTTTGCCCAACTCTAAGAAGCCAAATAGAATGACTTCTGGATGCCTAGATCTGCAAATAGAATGACTGATGGTTTAGCCAAGCTAGAAATTAACAGAAAGGGATTTGTATTGGTAAGAAGGCTAGCTGAGGCTAGCTCTCATAGTGGGTGACTGATCTATATATCTAGTGGTCTATATATCTATATTGTAATTTTCCGATAGCATTAATAAAATTTTATCAGTCACTGATGAAAAAGAATAAGTCAGAGTAAAATCTGGAGCTTGAAAGTGGAAAGGAGGTTTATGGTGAACTTGCAAGGTTTGATGTTGGATATGGTTATTGTCTTAACATTAGCAGCAACATCATAGGGATGTTCCTTCATCTGAAACTGATTATGTAGTACAAGCCCAGATTGATGTCATTTTATCTGATCTTCATTGTGATAGCTGCTGCAAAAGCATATCTAAAATATTAGATTTATTATATTACTTAGCTATTAGAGATTTCAAAGAGCGTCGAGGATGCATTTTTGTTCATGGCAGCATTCTTGGGGGAAACCTTCTAATCAGACTTATTGTGAAGCTGCATCTACTGTTAAGATGGTTGGTGTAGCTGGCATTTTAGAGGAGAAAGGGGTTTTGGCCATTCAAGAATGTGAGCATAGGGTGTTGTCAAGTTTGCAGATACAAGCACAACATAAATTTCTCTGGTGACTTCCTGATTTGTATTCTTCTTTTTTCTTTTTTTCGATAGGCTTGTATCCTTCCTTTTTCTTTTAATAATATGTTTATTTTACAACCAAAAAAACAGTGATGTGGTGACTGGGTTAGGGGTAAGTTTTTAGATTAATATTGCAAGGTTGGGTCTGCATTCTAGCAGATGTAGGATTGGGAACCAAAGTTCTCAAGACAGGTTCTAACAGTTTCATTTTTTTTCAAAATCAACAAATAATGCTTTTTTTTTCAAAATCAGCCAACAAGGCAACAATGAATACTAATAAAAAAAATCAACTAACAATGAATCTGTGATGATTAGTCTAGTTACTATTTACTACTTAAAAAGGTAAAGGGTTCCAAGAATCAGAGTTTGCTCCACATTACCAAAGTATTCTCTAGAATGAAAAGTGACCACTCTGGGCTAGTGCTTGTAAAAAGTTTAAAAAGTCTATGAAAGGAGGGTCTGAAGGACAACCTTCACATTACTAGTCATACATCTGGGCAGCCAAACGTTGCCCAAGAAGATTTTTCTACTGATTTGTCTTCAGTTGGCAGTATAGAATTTTTTTCTTCATGGCCATGTTTTACTGGAAGAAAAAGGCATAAATAATTTGGAATATAATTCCATTTGCTATTTTTTGGGCAATTTGGAAGGAAAGATAAACGTATTTTTAATGGGAAATTGGCAAACCATTAATCTTCTAGAAGGATTATGGCTCACTAGTTCTGTGATACTGGAGTGTTTGTTACTTGTTAGGGGCCATTTGATAACAGCTAAAGAAGCTGAACTGAAAAGTCTATTGCTTTGTCTTTCACAAGTTTTTTTTGTTTTTGATCAGTGAGGTAGTGTGCTCCTTAATGGCTGAAAATGAAATCTGGTAGGTCACTATACCCTTTAAATTTTTATTTATTTAATTATTTTAACAACCAAAAGACAAAGCAATAAGTCTTTTGGCAACTTCATCTGTTATCAAGTTGACGCCTTAATTGGATACTGTATATGATGATGTTTAGTTGTTGTTTATGAAATGTTTTGTTATGAAAGTTGTGGAATGTGTTGTTGTTTTGGGGTTTTTAATACATTTACATTTTTTTAATCTTTTGAAGGGCTACACAACAGGGGTAGCCCATCCCCCAACCCAGGTGCAGGCGGTATTCAATCCCAAGTCTCCACTACAACCAGCAGGAGACCTTACCAACCAGCTGGTTGGCACCTTGCTTAATACATTTACATTTTACTATCAAGAAAATAGATATAATAGATATTTACAAACTTTTCCCCTGAGATTCCATGTTGCTAGAGGGAATTACCCCAATAAACTCACCTCTCTATGCCTTGCATTTTCTGCATCTTCTGCATCATTTTGTTCCTTGGTTAACTTCATGATTTCATCATTGAATTTCTGTTCAAGTGCCTCAAATGTTTGTGGTAAAGGGTTGTCTTCATACCCAACTTCCATATCTTGCTCAAGGAGCTGGCCTCTGGAGTCTATGTTAGCTTGTTTCTCTAAACCCAGTTTTGGGTCTGACCTCTGGCCCTGGTAGAAAGATCTAGATGCATCATCCCCTTGACCTACATCACAAAACATGTTTCAAATTACATCTCAAGATTCTCAACCATATCATACATTAAAATAACATCTCAAGATTCTCAAGCACACACATTTAGCAAGCAAAACAGCATAATTTGCTCAGGGCAAGGTATCTGTTGCTCAAAATTTGGCAAGTCAGGACCCAACATTAACAGCACCCATCAAGCTAAGGCACATCAAGAAAACCTTCTTATGCTACCTCATTTCTAATCAATGTAAAACATATCCTGAAAGGTCAAGCACTAAAGACATTATTCATGATGGAATTTCATTGCTTGCACTGGTTGAATTTTAAAATGTTCTTCCATCAAAAAATAGAAAGAAGATGCTGATAAATCAGTTTCTGCTTGAAAATTTAGTTTGATTAATGTTTGCATATTTCTCACAGGACAGGTCATCAGCTAGGTTGGTACTTGGGAGAACCTTTAATTACTACTATAAATTAGATAAAGCCCACCAACTTATTTTTCCTAAATTATAGTGGGACTTGCAAAATTGTAAACAAAGACTCTCTTTTCCTAAATAGTATAAAGTCAACTAGAAAGACAGAGAACATAATTAATGATGAAGTCATTGTCAAAGTCACTTTGCAAATTTACCAGCATACTTCTATTTTTAACCTGAAAAGTAACTAAAAGAATTGAACAAATTATTAGACTTTCTAATGGGAACTAGAGGATGCTAGGATGGATCACCTTGTAATAGAGTTGTCAATGGGTTGGGTCTTGTTTGGGACAAGTTGGACCAGTCCCAGACTGATTAATAAACAGTTCATTAAAATAGACCCAGATCCAACCAATAATTAATCGGGATAATCGGGTCTGCCCCGAGTAGACCCAATTACACTTGACAGCTATAATCACCTATGATAATAACAACTGGGAACTTCATATTTGAAAATATAACCTTAGTAAAAATGATAGTAAATAGTAAAATGTTCAGATACTGATAAAATAAGTATTTTTAACCAAAATCATCTTACATACTGGCCATGAGATTTACCCTTTTAGACATAAAATATAACAAAAATTACAAGAAAACCAGTAGATCTTTATATGTTTGGGTCTTAATCAGTTCAGAACATCAAGAACTGGACCCAACCCAATTAATTATAGGGACACAAACCACAGAACCAGAACTGACATAATCAGTTTGTCCGGTTCAGTTCTACTGTGCAGACCTGACACACTAACAGCTTTTTTTTTGAGCCCCAAAATTCACTCCCGGTGGAGGGGTGGCCACCGAAACTTTATTGATATGCAGAAAACCTTGGAGGGGGGGACGTGAAGCCTTACCCCTCGCTCTATACAAAGGAAGCCTGGCCCATATAAACATAAAGGGTGTGTGTAAGAGAATGATGGATGGGTGCTAGGTGATAGGGCAAATGAGGACAACAGCATTACAAGATGGTTTGAGGCTTATGACTTGGTGGACTGGGAATTCTTGAGGAAAGTTTTAACCAAATTCGGGTTTGGGGCTAGATGGTGTAAGTGGATCATGGGCTGTGTCCAGAATTGTCATTATTCAGTGCTAGTGAA